AAAAAAAAAAAAAAAAAAAAAAAAGAGGTTCAGGAAGGACCAGCTGTGGTAAGGAACAAGAATGTGGTCCTTAATATGTGATGCTTGGACGGGTCACATAACTGACCCTGCTGCTTAAAAGAGAGAGGAAGCAGCAGGACTCGGTGGAAATGTTTTTTCAAAATAGGGTGGCCATTTTGGAAGAGAATAAGGAGACTAACTGAAAACGCTGGAGAGGGACGTGAGGGATAGTGGAAAGAAAGTCCTTGCTGGGGAGGGGTGATCTGGAATTGCACAGGGAGGCAGAGGGGCCTTAACCCTTGTGAAGAGGAAGGCTGATCCTCCCCTAAGGCTGGCAGGTAGGAGGATGCGAGGCTGCCCTGGGATAGACCCGTGGGCTGAGAACGAGGGGGTAGAGCCGGCCGTGGCCTCAGGCAAGGAGCCTGTTTTCTGGAGAGCAAAGAACGATGAGGTCCCAGCAGAAGCGTGCAGCCCATATCCGCAGGCTGTTGGGGCTGCAGGGATCGCCAGGGCAGCCAGTGGGAAGGGTAGGCAGTAGTTCCCCTTTCTTTCTTCCCTAGTTTCATTCTGCCTGAGCCCTCCGGTCAGCCTTCTCCAACGTAGGTCCCCCAGTCCCTTGGTGTTGCCCCCAAGGTACCCTGGCCCTGTGTCCTCAGGTGCATTATCTGCAGCGACCCATTGCCCTGTGGTGCGGCCTCAACCACTCCCTGGTGCTGAGCCAGGCCTTGGACTTCAGCAAAGAGCTGCTGGGCTGCGGCTGCGGGGCCGGGGGCCGCCTCCCCGGCTGGCCCAAGGGCAGCGCCTCCTTCGTCAAGCTCCATGTCAAGGTCAGAGCAGGGTGGGGCGAGTGGGCTGTGAGGGCAGCAGGAGCCGTAGAGCCAAGGGGCCCACAGGACTGGCGCAGGGACACCTGCAGGCCCTGGGCCTGCTCCCCAGTACCATCCGCCTCCCCTTCCCGCCTCTCTCCCTGGGCCCCCCGCAGGCCTTACTGGACCTCAGGACCAGCGGAGTCTTAGCTGGGCGCTCACTTGCACACACGGGCTCCAGGGGCCCTGCTGGGAGAGCGCCACTCATCGCCTCCCCCTCCCCAGGTCCCTTTGTGTGCCTGCTCCCTCTGCTCCACCAGAGAGTGCCTCTACATGCTGTCCAGCCATGACATCGAGTGCCACGCCTCCTTCCGGGACCTGCCAGCTGGCAGGGTGGTGGGGACTCCTGAGCCCAGCCTGGCAGCCGGAGCACCCCAGGACCCTGGGGGCGCAGCCCAGGCCTGTGAGGAGTACCTCAGCCAGATCCACAGTTGCCCCACGTTACAGGACCGCATGGAGAAGATGAAGGAGATTGTGGGCTGGATGCCCTTGATGGCTGCCCAGAAGGATTTCTTCTGGGAGGCCCTGGACATGCTGCAGCAGGCTGCTGGAGGGGATGGCCCCAGCGCCCCAAACCCTGAGAGCTGATTCCCCTTTCCTGGCCCCGCCGGAGGGAGCCGGGTCCTGGGCCAGGGCCAAGGAGAGGCCGAGGGGTAGCAATGAATACTGTGTGTGTGCACACAGGGAGGGGGTTGCTGGTGGGTGGGACTGTTTTGTAAAACGTTCAGGAGGCTGCCGAGGAGGGGCCCCCAACCTGACTATCATGGATAAGAGATGTTGATGGACAAATAGAATAAAAGGCTGAAGTGAGGCCTGGTTTGGAAGCCTGGGGCCTAGGAGGGACACGGGGCAAGGGCCGGGCCTACTGCTGGGCTCACGGGGTGAGGGCAGGCAGTGGCGGGCAGGGTGCGAGTGGCCCGAGCGTTCAGTCGCTGAGGAGATGGCAGCACCTGAACCCTCTGGCTGGCTGGCCCCGCCCCACTCCCAGGAGCCCACACAGTCGTTTTGACTTGGAAGTCCTGGCCCTGCTTGCTCCCCCACGGTCCTCTGTCTACCAGACGTGTCCCTGTCCGGAGGCAGCCACTTCCTTCTGATCCTAAAAAGCCGCCTACCCACTTCCCTTCATTCTTGTGCAGTCAGCCCCTCCCCCAGCACTACATTTCTCACCCTGGGTTGCTCCAAGCCCTCTCCTGTCTCTCTAGTCAGCAAGGGGGCATCGGTCCGCCACAGCCAGCACCCTCTGAATGCTTCACTCACATCCTGATTCTCCACTGCCCTCTTTCCAGCCCGACCTGATCTCTCCAAAGCCCTCGGGTCTTGTTGCTTGCACGAGCCACCAGCCAGGCCCGCGGAGACCAGGTCCTCTGCTCTGCGTCTGCAAGAGGTCCCTCCCCTTCCGTCTGTTCCTGTCCTTCCTCCCTTCTTTCCTTTCTTCCTGCCGCTTCCTTTGGTCCCTTCATCCACACATCTTGCCTCCCTGCCCCATTCCTGTTCCTTCAGATATTTAGAAGAGAAAGTGGGCAAGCAGACTCTTTCCCCTTGGCCTGACCTGGCCCAGTGTGGAGAGAAGGCAGCCAAGATGTGAAGTGGACAAGGAGCTATGGGGTGGCCAGGAAGGAGGTGAGTGGTTAGGGCTTGGGAAACACTTCCTCAGGTGCCGAGGAAGCAGAGTGGGGAGGGCCGGGGCTGGAGAGTCCTTGGAAAGGCTCAGTGTCTGTATTTGCAGGGTGCTGGGGCACCGAACAGAGTGGGGTTCCAGAGGACAGGACTTGATGCCTGGATGATGGCCTCTGCCCCTCAGCGCGCCACCCCTTACTTAGCTCGATATGTATTTATGTCCTAGACCTAGAGGGTTTTCTGGACTTGCCACGGTCCCAGCTCTAGTCTCCCTGTCCCGCCTTCCCCGCCGCCCGCCCCACCGGCCAGTCCCCACGCCCACACTCCCCAGGCTGCCTCATCTGGCATTGATTATCCTGCTGCTGCTGCTGCTGCGGCTGCTCAGCTCAGCTGCCGTCTCTGTCTCGGAGGACCCCGGCGCCTTTCCCCCCGGCCATGCTGCCTGCTGCCACAGCCTCCCTCCTGGGGCCCCTCCTCACTGCCTGGGCCCTGCTACCTCTCGCCCAGGGCCAGAACCCCAACTACACCAGGTAGGTCTCTCGTCATCTTCCAGACAGCTCGAGTGAGCTTCGAACCCCTGATTTCTGGGCCTTGATGCCTGTGGATCTCGGGGATTCCCTGCTGACACGCCACCCCCAGGTTTCCCACTGCCACCCCCTTCTCTGGCCCCCAAGCCTGCCCCTTCTGTGGCAAGACCATGGCCTCCTGCAGGCCACCACTGCTCCCACCCCTCCACCCTTCGTCCTCTGGCCTCTCCGCATCCACCGAGGCCCTTGGCCCCTCCACGAAGCCCAGGAGCAAGCAAGACCAGAACCTGCCTGGTCGCTGGACATCTGGGTTCCAGGATTAGCGAGGGACTGTGGGGGAAGAGGGCACGGCAAGTGGAGACTTGGGAGTCAGATACTCAAGCCCTTAGCTGGAACAGAAGCAGGGCAAAGGTCGGGAGCTCAGGGAGCCTGGCCTCCAGGCTCGTTTGAGGGCCATCCTGCCCCCCTTCTCATGGCTCTACTCCCTCCTCCCCCCTCCCCCGCCACCGCCTCGTGGCTGTGTCCGCATCTGGAAGTAGTTAGGCGGCTCGGTCCCTGACTGCCAGGCAGGAGGGGGGAGAGGGGAAGGGGGCCGAGGAGGATTCCGGGAATTCCTCTTGGGGTGGGGGTGGGGACTTCCGTGTTGGAGAAGTGGTCCAGTGGCAGGTCCCATTCTTTCCGCATTCTCTGCCGAGAATGTCGGAGTCTTTCCCAGCCTGTCCCACCTGGCTGGCTGAGGCTGCCCCAGACCCCTTAAGGCCTTTCTCCTTCATCCCCATCCCCCGCCAGCTTCCGCTCCTCGTGTCCCATCTTCACGGCCCGTCCCCACCTCACGCCTCGCCCCACTCCTGACCGACTCCTCCTCTGTTCTCCAGACCTGTGTTCCTGTGCGGAGGGGATGTGACGGGAGAGTCAGGTTACGTGGCAAGCGAGGGCTTCCCCAACCTCTACCCCCCCAATAAGGAGTGCATCTGGACAGTAACGGTGAGGCGGCCTCTGGATACCACCCGTTTGCCCAAGACTCCAAGGCAAAGGCCTGACTGCTAAGGGAGCCCCTCCCCCATCGCTGCATTCTCACCTTGGAGTTGCTCCAAGTCCCCGCCCCTCTGCTCATCAGACTGAGGGACTGAGGGCATCAGTCCCACAATAGCCAGCACCCGCTTGGCCCTTCACTCAAACGCTGATTCTCCACTCCCCGCTGTCCTGCCCCATCTGATCTCTCCAAAGCCCTCAGGTCTTGTCGCTTGCGCGAGCCACCGGGCTGCAGAGACCGGTCCTCGGCTCTGCACCTACGTCCGGTCCCCTCTCCTGCGGCCCGTTTCTGCAGGAAACTCTTGAGGAAGGGGAGGTGCCCTCTGCCTGCGCTGTGTGTGGCCTGACTTGAGGGGTCCCTGCCCTGTCTCCACCGGCAGGTCCCCGAGGGCCAGACCGTGTCCCTCTCCTTCCGAGTCTTCGATCTGGAGCTGCCCCCTGCCTGCCGTTACGATGCTCTGGAGGTCTTTGCCGGGTCTGGAACCTCCGGCCAGCGGCTCGGACGCTTCTGCGGGACCTTCCGGCCCGCGCCCCTCGTGGCGCCCGGCAACCAAGTGACCCTGAGGATGACGGCGGACGAGGGCACGGGAGGACGGGGCTTCCTGCTCTGGTACAGCGGGCGGGCGGCCTCGGGCACCGGTGAGACCTCCCTCGCCCGCCTTCTCCCGC